ATGCCCTCACCCCCCTGTTGTCCATGACCACTGGTTAGGCTCATATACATGCACACAAGTCCTTTGGTTGATCTCTCCTCCTTATCCCCAACCCTCCCCTACCTTCTCTATGAAGTATGACAGTCTGATCTATGCCTCCTGGTCTCCAGGTCTGTTCTTGTTCATCAGACTATGTTGTTCATCATTTCCCCTAGATGAGTGAGATCATGTGATATTAGAAACACACTTATAAGAACCTAAAATGAGACAAGCCATAACGGTTATTCTGAGAGGCAAATGAATCAGTCTGTAGTGAGTTTCTTTCTGGGCCAATAGTTCTTTTGAGTCCCAATTTCAATGTCAAACAATTCCTTATGTGTACATGTCAGCAATGATATTTCAGTTCTGGATCGTGGGCAAATGGTGATAATGCAGGCCCGACCCTCTCTGGTTTGGTCCTGGGCAACTTGCAGTGATGCACAGCTGCTGACTGCTATTATGGCAAGGCATCATCAGTGTCTTCCATCTCTGGACTGTTTCTCTTCTGTCTTCATGGCTGGAAAAATCCTGTCAATTCCTCTCTGTTGCAGGAATCCACATAGTCTCCGAGTTGTTTTCTTAAAATATACAAACATATTCTCGACCACAAGTTAATAAAGGAATATTTTCTATAAATTTGACTTGAGATCCTTTTTCATTTTTTGCCTAAATGATTTTTCTCTGGCTTGTTTCAACACCATGTATGTTTTACATGGGTGTCTTCCTGTTAGCATTACAAATAAAAGTTAATTTTCTAAAGTAAAATTTTTCTAGATGTAATTTACTTATAGGATATTTTTCCTTACATGATCTTCTTCTACTAACCTCCCTTTTGTGATTTAAATATTAGGAGGTTTTTGGAAGTTTTATAATGTAGTCTTGATAGCTTTTAAATTTTATTTTTTTTTCACTAAAATATGACTGCTTTAGGTTCATTACATGTTATGCAATTTTATCATGAGACGAATGACCAATAACAATTTTTGTTAACACTTTAGGAACAGCTTTTTGTCTAGTACAATGAATTTTTCTAGAATATTTGCTTATTTCAATTAGCCAATTTAAATTAGTCTGAAAACTTGGCTACTATTTTACTGTCAAATTTAATACTCTGAATAAAAGTAGTCAAGTCTGAAACTTGACTTCTATTTTACTGTCAAATTTAATACTGTAAAATGTAATACTAACAACAATCTTGTTTTACCCTGTAAATATTAGTGGAAAGGATTATTTGCCTTCTTGAGTTGGCCCTGAACATTCCTTGTACTAGGCTAGATTTAGATATCAAAACCCCACTTCCCCACACCATGGGTACAAGACAACTCAAACAAGTCTTGTTGCAGTGAGAGGGCAACTGCTGTCAGCAATGTCACTGTCTGTTTTCTGGGTCCCAATTTGAGCTGGGCATGGGGAGTTAAGCAGCATGAGGGCAGAAGACCTCCCTCAGAAGGGGTGAGGGTCCAGGTCCCTGTAAAGATGGGGGGGTGAGGGTCTGTGCCCCACCTTTGTTGACCCCAAGTTCTCTCCTGATGGTCCCTCTGCAACTGTGCCTGACTTAGGCTGTTCTTTCCCTGAGGAATCTTACCCATCTCTGGCTAACCAGCCACCCTCCAGGGCCAACCAGGGTGATGTGAGTTTTAGTTCTGTCTTTTTAGTAGCATATGCCTCCATGGCCTCCACACCCATCACCTGTCTTGTGATCCCTTTGGCTGCTGATGGGGCCCCAGCAATGATCACATATCTTGGGGAACCCGGGGTTCTTCTCCAGGGAGGGCCCAGCTTGCCCAACTGGGCAAGAGACAGATTCATGGTACCAGGCATCACAAGGCTTCAACCTTGGCTTGAACAGAAAACTCAGGCAACAGCCGTGGGCAATTGGATTGTGAGAAGAGGGCTCCTCTTGGCCAAAAGAGCAAGAGGGATCAATATAGAATGCTCAGGTGCCTTCCCAGGAGGCCCTCTACACAGTGGAAGGGATTAAATCCTTTCATGTCCTTTTTAAATGGCTGCCAGACTTTCAAAGAATTAGTTTTTAAGTTTGTTTGGGATAATTGTATATTATGCTTTTGTAATTCAAAATATCAAGAGATGTGTTATCTTTGTCTCCGAGGACCAAAAAGATGGCTTTTATTGATTCCCAAGGGTGCGAGATACTATTATAGGTAATGAGGATAACCCAAATCTGGGAAAAATTATAGTGACATTGTAGAATAATATCATGTTCTTTGCTCTAGGCCATGACAATTCCATTTCAAACTGGCTGTCAATTTTTCGTATAGACAAGGTCTTAGTTACATTTTCTGCACCTCTCCCAGGAACAAGTAGTGATAGGCCCTTCCTTTGGTGTCCACACAAGCCAGAAACCTCTGTTTAATTTTACACACAAAAGGGCAGTGGGTTGATTTTGTGTCATACAAAAGGGAAGCTTGGTGGAGACCCCTGTGTAATTATACTTCCTTGCCCCACCCATAGTCCTCCTGGATGACCAAGGTGTTTGCCATTATTGGTGACTACATTAGGCGAAGATCAGGCCACCTAAGGCCTCTTACCTATGAAGGTTCAGGAAAATAAGTCCAAAATACTTCCCTATTTGCCCGAGGTAATATTACCATATAGCTGATGACTGCTAGCATGGCAAGAAAGATGTTCTCAGGCTATCTTGTGTTTCTGGTTACCTCACAATTTCTTTTTTTAATTTTTAAAATTATTATTATTATTAGTTTTACATATGTGTCCTTATTCTCCCATTACCCCCCAACCCTACTCATGCTCCACCCTCCCTGTTCTCTGTGTCCATTGATTAGGCTCATATGCATGCATATAAGTCCTTTGGCTGATCTCCTCCTCCTTACCCCCACTGTCCCCTACCTTTGCTGAGGTTTGACATTCTGATTGATGTTTCTCTGTCTCTGGATCTATTTTGTTTTTCATCCGTTTATGTTGTTCATTATATTTCCCAAATGAGTGAGATCATGTGATATGTATCTTTCTCTGCCTGGCTTGTTTCACTTAGCATAATGCTCTCCAGTTCCATCCACGTTGTTGCAAATGGTAAGAACTCCTTTTTTACCTCAGTATAGTATTCCATTGTGTAGATGTAACACAGTTTTTTAATCCACTCATCTGATGATGGGCACTTATGCTGTTTCCAAATCTTAGCTATGGTGATTTGTGCTGCTATGAACATAGGGTTGCATATCTCCTTTCTAATTAGTGTTTCTAGTTTCTTGGGATATATTACTAGAAGTGGGATCACTGGGTCAAATGGGAGTCCATTTTTAGTTTTTTGAGGAAACTCCAAACTGTTCTCCACAGTCTGCATCAGTCTGCATTCCTACCAGCAGTGCATGAGAGTTCCTTTTTCTCCGCAACCTGGCCAGCACTTATTGTTTGTGACTTTTTTAAAAAAAAATATTTTGTTGATTTTTTACAGAGAAGAAGAGAGAGAGCTAGAGAGCTAGAAATGTCAATGAGAGAGAAACATCACCAGCTGCTTCTTGCACACCCCCTACCGGGGATGTGCCCGCAACCAACGTACATGCCCTTGACAAGAATAGAACCTGGGACCTTTCAGTCCGCAGACCTATGCTCTACCACTGAGCCAAACTGGTTTTGGCCATTTGTTGACTTGATGATAGCTATTCTGACAGGTGTGAGATTGTAAGGCATTGTTGTTTTGATTTGCCTCTCTCTGATGATTAGTGACTTTGAGCAGGTTTTCATATGTCTCTTGGCCTTCCTTCTGTCTTCTTTTGAAAAGTGTCTATTTAGATCAGTTGCCGATTTTTTGATTGGGTTATTTATCTTCTTTTTGTTAAGCTGCATGAGTTCCCTGTAAATCTTGGAGATTAAACCCTTATCGTTGATATCATTGGCAAATATGTTCTCCCATGCAGTGGGTTTTCTTGTTTTACTGATGGTTTTCTTTGCTGTGCAAAAGCTTTTTATTTTGATGTAGTCCCATTTGTTTATTTTCTCTTTAGTTTCCATTGCCCTAGGAGCAGTATCAGTGAAAAAATTGCTTTGGCATATGTCAGAGATTTTTCTCCCTATAGATTCCTCTAGTATTTTTATGGTTTCTCATCTTATGTTTAAGTCCTCGATCCATTTTGAGTTTATTTTTGTGTATGATGTAAGTTGGTGGTCTAGTTTCATTTTTTTTGCATATACCTGTCCAATTTTCCCAACACCATTCATTGAAGAGACTGTCTTGACTCCTTTGTATGTTCATGCCTCCTTTGTCAAATATTAATTGAGCATAGTGATTTGGGTCGATTTCTGGGTTCTTTATTCTATTTTATTGATGTATATAAGACTTTGAAAATTTAATGGTAATTAGACTTCCTGCCAGGCAGTTATTTAAGAGAAGTACAGACCCTCCTTTTGCCACAGAGTACTCCTTAGTTCATGGAGGATGGGTATTAGAGTTCTGAGATCTTCTGTTTCCCCATTCCATGTCAGGGCACTTCACTGGCTTAAGAGAATATATATCGAATTCTATTTTTGTGGTGGTGTGAGGTTTAATTCTACATAGCATAAATAGGAATGTATTTATGATAGCATTCACTTTTGCCTTTCCCTGCACCCAAATTATATTATCAATATTGTTGTAATGGTTTAAACAAATGAGCATAAACAAGGGCTGCTCATAACTCTCTCCTCCAAGTTTGGAGGTTTGTCTCCTCCTCCTCCTCATTAGAATTGTGGAGGGGTAGCAGTCCTGCAGCAAAGACAGGCACACAGGCTTTCTCTGTGGATTAACTAGTTAGGAGAGACACTTTTTATATTGCCAAGCAGCACTTAAGCTGCTAATTCTTGACTGTGAAAACTGCTTTTCCTGGGCAATGCTCTTTAAGGAAAAACTTCAGTCCAGGGATTGGTGACTAAGGGAATGAGGGAGCACAGGGGATTGGGCGGGGTCTCGGCTCCCAATAGTGCCTCCTTATCCAATGAGAAGCATTTCCTATTGAGACCCCCAGAAGTTCCCCCCGGCCCTCAGCTTCAGCCGGGAGTTTGGGCCTTTTCTTGTGTCCTGTTTGTTAAAAGGCATGCCGGCTACTGCATTCAAGAGGGCCATTTTTTAACAAAGGGAAAGAGATAGATGTAAATAAGCTCACATTTTCAGAATGAGCGGTTTGCTGTAAGAAGCTGTGGCAGCCCAGAGTCTGCTACTTTGGGCTGGGCTAACCTTTCCTTGTTAAAAAAAAAAAAAAAAAAAAAAAAAAAAAAAGGATTAAAATATGCACTTTTAAAGTGCGAGTTGCCTGTTCACATGCTTATTAGCTAATTTTCTACTCGCTTGAGCACACTCTCATCTAGCACACTCTTTCTTGGGGTAAGTCTCTTTGAGAAAGATTTGATTTGGGCGTTTGTGGATGGGGGTGGGGTGGGTGGAGGCCGCGTAACAGACTTCAGTGGAAATGCTTTGAGTGTTTGGGGAAAGAAGTTAGATTTCAACTCTGAAGTGCTGAACAGATCGTCGTGTGGAATGGTTAAAACGAGGAAAAAAAAGAAGTTTCTATTGTTATGGCAATAATACTGTTTCGGTGGAAAAGATACAGGCTTTTCAGGCTGTTGTTTTATGTAAACACAGAGTAGAGCTTAGAAATTCTTTTGGCTAGCTTTATATTTCTTTCGTTTATAATTGATTGTGAGCTAATGTGGCTCCTATTATGAGATTTCTTCTAGGAAAACTATATGGAGCATACTTTGATGCTTAATTGATTTATGAAGAATGTGACATTTGCTATATTGAATAATTCATGAGCTTGACTATAAAGGAAGAAACATTTCAATGAAAAACTAATTCTGGAATAAATTGAGTTTACTATTATATGTTAAATTAGTTGCTGTTTTTCATACAAATGCAATAATATGACATTTAACATTCTCTTCTTGTATGTCCTGAATATTTTTTTACAATTTAGCTACAAGATCTTGTTGAACTGATAAATATTGTATTTTAGTTACTTTGTTTTAGGAAATTTAGTAATGTAATTAATCATTATTCCAGCATGGACAAAACCAGATAAATCTAAATCTTAGAGCATTTCAGAGTTTTTTTGGGTTATTTACTTTGCTACCATACTAAATGATATCATCTTTTTTTTCCCTTGACTAACATGAAGACAACAATAAAACTGAAGCTCCAAATTATCCAGTGGCTTTGAAACATGTTTATTTTTCAGAACAAAATTCCAAGGAACATATTCTATCAACACAGATTTTTAAATAATTTTTCCTTGTCATAGATGAAAAGTTTACACCCCTGCTATAAAGGGTGAGTTCAGCTGATTCTTGATGGCTTCTACACTTTAGAGCATCTCCTGCCAATCAGATGCGAATGAAAGCAATATTGGAACAATCAAATCATCCTTTCAGAATGTGTACTCCCTGTAAATTAAAGAGAGGTCTGGGGCCTAACAGCAACACTTAGGCCAAAATTAGCTGGAGCTTCATTAATTCAATTTCCTTTGAGAGAAAATGCAGTGATAGTTATTGCCCTTGCTGTGGTGTGGTCAGGGCCTAATTGTGTGTTGCTTTTTTTTTTTTTTTTTTTCTTCTGTGTGTACGGTCATCACATATTAGTATTCTCTTGGCCTTAACTGGAAAGGAAAAAACACATACCTATAATGTATTTGTACTGAATATTAGTACTGAAAATTGGGTGCTTAATAGGAGATCACCTACCACTGGGAATCCAGCCTTATTTTTAGTAGATACGTAATTTTATCAGAATAAAACATAGGATAAGTATTCTATTGATTTATTATTTAGTTATGTTCTGAAGTATTTTGATAACCTTATATTTTGAGGAAAGAATTGACTAGGTGACCGGGGAACAGGCAGCAAAGATTGAGGAATAAACTTAGTTAAAGCTTATGTGCCTACTGATATGGGCATAAAGACAGAATATGAGAGAAATGAGGGCATTAAGAAGACATTAGAACTAATTAATAAATATTTCTGATATTAATGGTAACTAAACTATATATGGTGACAGACTTACTGTGGTGTTTCTTTCGCAAGAAATACAAATATCAAATTATTATGTTGCATAGATAAGATTAATTTAATGCATGTCAATTATACTTCAATTAAAATAGATAAAATAAATCTAGGAATAATTTCATTGAGTCTAACAAAAATGAATTCCCCTTACTTCACACTTTGAGGGATTACATTTTTTTTTGCAGTGACAAATGGGAGCAGGTGAAGACAACTGACTAAAGGGGTCAGTGAGGCCATTCCATAGTACCAGTTTAAAGTTGCTATCAATTAATGCAAAAGGTAGAAGAAAATAAACTGAGGTCCAAAAAGAGATTGTGACTTGCTGTCAAACAGTTAGCTAGTGATGGATGGGGCTGGATGTGGTTTTATTGAATTAATAACAAATATGAAAACTTCTGGGTATTTGAAATTCCAAGTTTGCTTGGATTCCAAATAAAACTGTTTTTAAAAAATAATCTGTATACATTTTGAAAGCTATAAAAAAAGAAATGTTAATATTGCTGTCTTCATAAACCAGTAAAATAATATTCATTTCATTCCAGGAATATTGCTATCTGGAGGAGTGTGAAAATCAATTCAAGGTGATCTCAAATATATTTTAAATTGTCTAATGATTTTACTATTTTTATTTCAGTTCTCTTAAATTAGAAAAATTATTTCAAGAGAATTGGAGTATTATTTATCAGTCTGATTTGTTTAGGCCACCTTTGTTCAAAAGAGGGTGAGATGTGACAATAATATAATTTTGGCACTAACAGATGACTCTACTTTCTAGGCAATGAATGAGCAGGGTTCAAATGTAGGTGCTACTTGTAAGAATTTTATTGTCAACTATTTCTGGTTCTGTACAAGTATTTTGTGCTGAGTTGAGATTTGAAGATGTTATAGACATGCTATATTGGTTAGGCCTAGTTCATCCTAGTAGAGGCAGCAGTGATTGTCATTGTGCTAATGCCCAGAATTTGGAACCTTGTTCATATCACTGTAGTTCAGTGAGAAATAAATTTAACTGGGGTGGGAGTGCAGGTTGGAGACATGCCAATAGGGTCTCCACCTGTTGTTCCATTCTTCTTTCCTCTTCTCTTATCAAGGCTCTTGCCAAATAGTAACAGTTGTTGCCAGGGAAAAAGAAAAGAAAAAAAAGAAAAAGAAAGAAAGAACAAAGAACCAACATAACTTCAGGCAAAAACAAACAAACAAACAAAAACAACCCTCCTCTGTTCAGTTATTTTTAATTCAGTATATTTCCTTATGAAAGTGGAGGAAGTATTTTTATGCCTTTTGCTATTAGTTATCTTTAAACAATTATAGTTACATAGACTCATGGACTTTTTGCTTATCAATACAACTAATAAAATATGGCACAGTAATATCAGGTTTGTAAAATAAAACGTTATCTGATATTCTGTAATAATGAAATGCAAAACGTTCAGACACTATTTTATTTTTTAAAAATATATTTTATTGATTTTTTACAGAGAGGAAGAGAGAGAGAGAGATAGAGAATTAGAAACATCCATGAGAGAGAGACACCGATCAGCTGCCTCTTGCACACCCCCTACTGGAGATGTGCCTGCAACCAAGGTACTTGCCCTTGACCAGAATCGAACCCGGGACTTTTCAGTCCTCTGGCTGATGCTCTATCCACTGAGCCAAACCGGTTTTGGCCAGATATCATTTTAAAATATGTTGGCTCTCAGATCAACCAAAGGACTTATATGCATGCATATGAGCCTAATCAATAGACACAGACAACAGGGGAGTGGGACATGAGTGAGGAGTGGGGGTAATGGGGGAATAAGGACACATATGTAAAAAAAATAATAATAATTAAAAAATAAAAAAGAAATTGTGAAATAACTAGAAAAAAATAAAATATGTTGGCTCTCATTTACTTTGATTTGTATCATCTAATCCTTTTTTACCCTATGATCTTTACATACATTTTATTGAAAAGTCTTTTGATGTCACACTATTGTGACTAATTGTATTTTACAGCATCCATCGGAGGAAATCCCTAACCACAGTGCCTCCAGAAAGTTATTTGGTCACGCAAGTCTCAGATAAAATTGGTGCCAGAATTTGAACTAATGTGGTGAGTACCAATCTCCTGATAATAGCTTTCTTCATAATTCTTTAATTTTTTTTGTAATCAATACTTCCAATTTATAATAGGTTATATAATATAAAAATTCATGAGGATTTGTGATTGTTTATTATAGTCCAGGCAATTTTGGTGTAGCTGAATATTGATTCTTTGGTTTTAAGCCCTCTGTGCCACTGGTATATACCTTTAGAGATGGGTGACATGGTTTTTAGTCATATTATCAGGATCAATTTCCAATATTATCAGATAAATTGATATACAAATTGCTAACTGATTCTTGAGTAAAAAATAAACAAGGATGTCAGTATGTTCTATGAGAGAGAAAAAACCCATATAGACACAGATAGCAATAAGGTAATTACCAGAGAAAAAGGGTAATGAGGGCAGGTAGAAGAGAGTAAATAGGGTATAAATGGTGATGGAAGGAGACTAGACTTTGAATGCTAAATATATATGGAATTATATACTCAAAATCTATAAGATTATATTGCCAATATAATCCAAATAAATTCAATAAAAATAAAAACTTAAACAAGGCATATCAATCTAAGCAATTGACACACATGGGGAGGCTTATTTGAAATGATACCTCATACAGATCAATTTCCCAGCTCAATTCTAAAGTGAAATATCTACCTGTGGTTTCCTCCATATGTAATGTCATAAGGCTATATTATGTTTTGAAAACTATTATGAGACATCAACTAATGCATAGTTACATCAGTTGGAACCATGGTTATGATTGTGACCTGTCCTTCTGACTTGGTCTAGAAGGTTTTGTTAAGAAGTCTTCTCTGTTAGTAGTCACTCATCTGAGGAACAACAGCATGTACACATTCCCTATTACTCCAGCATGATGTTTTAAATTTTTTTTTTCATTTTAAAATGTATTTTTTATTGTTGATAGTATTACAGATACCTCCCATTTCCCCCCCATGTCCCCCCTTCTCCCAACCCCTACCTATCCCCCAGGTCTTCACTACCTTATTGCCTGTGTCCATGGGCTATGTATATAAGTATATGAGTTCTTTGGTTTATCTCTTCTCATCCCCCCACATTATGGTTTTGATTTGTATTTTTGAAACATTTTTGTATTTTTTCATTTACCTCACTGCTAGATATTTATAGGCCAGGATACAATAGGTTTCAGCTTCCTCTAAAAACCATTGTGTCAATGTTCCTAAGCTTCAGAGTAGAAAGAGGAAATGTTCTGGGGATCAGAAGCACTCTGAACTGACCCTGAGCTCATGAAAAAGGGAGCAAAGCAAGAGAATTTGAGTATACTCTGTCTTCCAGGCTTTGTTTTTCTCTGGATTCACTTCTGTAGGGAACAAAAGCAAGCCAGCCTTTCTAGGCTACTGGTCATATGTCAGAATTTAGAGCTTTGTTTTTAACATATCATCTGAAAGTTTAGCATTAGTAAAGTGGAATAATTTAGGTATGTATTTTAATAGGGCCAAAAGTCTAACTGCACTTCCTCCAAGAGCCCCAAAGATTCCAAACATGGTATATTTCATTAACATTATAAATGTTTATAAAAAGAAAAAAATTGTGAACACTAGTATGAACTGTCCGAATTGGCTCCATATGTGTAGGTCAGAGTTAAAAATTCATTGGGGTCAGATTTCTCTTTGGTCACCCTCCAGGTGACCTGCTTCCTGCCCATTGTCAATGAAAATGCATCCACCCAGTATTCTGACCCCTCTAGGTGATTAATTGTTGGAATAGTTGGGTACAATGGTTTTTACAAGACAATAGTCTAATGCTACTTGCAGTGGAAGATGTAATTAACTGCGTCAGCCTATTTTTTTTCTTCTTGATCTCATCTGAAGCTCAAGAGTTGGCCCTTTGCCTCCATTCAGTGCACAATATGTTATCCATTTAGGAAAATCTAGTGGTTAAAAACACTGCTTTTTTTGTGAAAAGAAAGGAGTTAGTCCAAAAAAGAGAAGTTGTTTCTTGAATGCTGTTGATTCTCCTTCATAATCAGCTTAGGAGCCAAATACTTCTCTGATTTTTTTAAACCATAGCTCAGTGGGAGATATTCCTTTGGAGCACCCTCCTGGATTGTCCTTTTATGAGAAAATTGTGTTGTTAAGGTTGAAACTCAAAAGGGGCTCTCTTGGTATACATGGTGTTAGGAGAATGATGTGTTGCAAATATGAAGTTCAGCAAGAAAGACAGTCAAAGGTGTCCAGTTGTGTCAGGGGAGGGAGAAAGATAAAAGCTTATATAATGTTTATTTGTGGTTAGGTAGAACTGAATACTTGCAAGCACATAAACCTCTTGATAAGCCCTATTGAATCTTCCTAACATCAACTGTGAGGCCCAGAGGTATGTTTATACAGGGAAGATAAACTGTATAGCTGAGTTACAGAGTGAACCAGTGTCTGAGTCAGAAATAGAACTCCTTGCTTCCAATGTTGTGTTAAGTCCCATCACCACACCTTCCCTGCTAGACCGCAAAGGTGCTGTGTGTTTAAACAGGGAAAGCTATGAATAGGGTCTTAGTGGCAGTTTCCCATGCCCTCTTTTCAGGATTGAGACTGTAATGCTTTCTTGTCTCTGGTCCTTTCTCTCCCACAATATTTGGTTACTCAACACAGCAAAGCAGACATATTAGGCATTTGCAGACTGCATGCTGTGGGTATAATGCATATGTTCTGGGAGACATAAAACTGGATGCAAAACTGGGGAGACAGCTCACCTATTTCTTTTTAAAAAATATTTTTTATTTATTTTTTACAGAGAGGAAAGGAGAGAGAGAGTTAGAAACATCGATGAGAGAGAGTCATTGATCAGCTGCCTCTTGCACACCCCCTACTGGGGACATGCCCTCAACCAAGGGTCTCCTGAACCTGGGACCTTTCAGTCTGCAGGCCAACGCTCTATCCACTGAGCCAAACCAGTTTCGGCAGAGCTCATCTATTTCAAACACACCATTTTTGGGCAGTACAAAATAACACATAGTCAGAGAGCTAGAAGTATGCTGTGAAAATGGCTCACCACTGGGCAGACTGGAGGAACTCTGGGGTGGGGTAAAAAGACTTCTATTATGAAAGCATTTTCCAAATCAAATAAACTTATTGTCAGTTTAGTATAAAAGGCAGGTGCAAGCAAATAATAGCAAACGAAGCTTGATTTTAATGTTGGCTTTTGCAGTTCCATATTTATTTTAGATTGTGTAACTATGTTACATTTTGATTTCTTTCAACAATTAAAAAAGACCTCTAGAGTAATGGATAGTGATTTGGGGTGTTAAAAATAGTATGTAAAGTGGTTTAAGCAGTTGACATGTTCACCATTCTCTTTTTGTTTCTGCCATCCCACTGGTGAAACAATCTGCAGTAACCTGGGTCTACAGCTCCCAAAGAAAATATGAAATCCATTGACTGATATTTTCTAGTCTATTCCTATATTTTTCCAGTTTCAGTGGCCATAAGCAGAGTATTGCATATTGTACTTCTTCCTGATAAAATTGAAATGTTTGAGATGAAGCAAGATACAGAGGATAGGATTGGAGTAATTGTGAAATAGAAACACCTCCCAAGGCTCTAGATACAAATTGGATGACAGCACTGACCTCTCCCCAGCAACATTTGTTTTTATTTCACCCTTTCTTCTCTTTCTCTCAGTTCTCCTATTTTTCTTTCTCTGCTACTTCCTTTATGATCTCCTATTCTGCTCTCCCCACCTATATTTACCTCTTTCTCATCTGCCTTTTTTTTTTCTATCTGGGGACCTTGTTTGGCCCAGGTTCCTGCTTCTATCTATCATAGTTGCCTCTAGCAAATTTGAGCTTGGCTTATGAGATAAAATGGTCAAGAAGGAATATGATCTTAGCGTAGTATTAGGCTCAGGGGAAGCACTTCATAAAGATTTGTTAAATAAGAATCCAGAAATAGCCAGATTCCAATATTAATTTGAAAATTTCAGCTGTTGAAAATGACAACTATTTGCATCCTGCATTTTTCAAGGTCATCTTTCCCTATAGGCACTATAGTGAGTGAATTTCTTTTTTCCTCAAACTATTTTTCCCCCCCTCAAGCCAAACACTGCCATGATTTTAGGCCTCTATAATGCTGGCAGATTCCCCCCTCCACTCCCTTCTTTGTTATATAGAAAGTGTCTTTGACCTGTTCGTTGGGAGTTGAGAGGAAAAAGTGACATAAGTAAGAATCACTTCAAAGAAATGCCTTTCACATTTTAAAATATAATTATGTAAAAAAGCATTACCGCCTATACTATACAAGGGGACAAAGAACACTTTGATTCCATATCCTCCTCATTGAAAAGAATTCATTCAGCAGCTATTTGTCTATAGTGTATTACAGAACATTTCAAAGACAGTTTTTGTCCAATGGCAGCTGTTAATCTAGGAGGTTAGTAAGATTTCTATATGTACCTTTGAACAATGTTGGCTTAGTTACCCAACATAGTGATTAAATCAGTGACTACCACATGTACAAGTGGTGGCAGGCAGAGGGCATGTACCGTATTTTCCAGCGTATAAGACGACCCCTAATTTTACCGTTAAAACATAGGTTTAGGCCTATATTCACTGTATAAGACTACCCCCCACTTCTGAGACAACACCAGTTCTTTTTTTAATAGACCGCCTCTCTGACTCTGGCCAATCTGAGCAGGCTTTTTTTCGTTTCAAAAGTCATCTTATACGCCGGACAATACGGTAACTAGCTAGGTGAGCATACATTTCACTTGTGTTCACCAGAAAAGGCTTTATTGACCAGGGCCATATTAGGAGCTGAAGGCATGAAAATAAGTGATGGAATGGGCAGTGGGAGAGCGAGAGAAGGAGTACATTCTAGGCCAAGGATGTCAAACTTCTGGCCCACAATGAATATTTTTGCGGCCCAGCCAATATAACAGTATATAAAAAATTTTTAATAAAAATTTCATAACTTAATTTTTACAATGTTCAGTTATACATAACTAATAACAATGAACTACAATATTTGCTAATAACTGATTACTAGAATCATGTTGCATTCATTCCCTTATGCGCCTTATGCATAGGTGCACCATTATCTCCACTAATACTAGCAGGGAATATTTTAGCAGCTGATTTTCATCATTAATCTTGTATTGACTTGTTTGGTGTGCACAACAGGAAATATTTCGCTTTCGGAGAACAAGAAAAATAGGTTTATTTGTGTTACGTGTATTAATTTGTGCAATTATGCAGTGTCTGGTAAGTTAATATTCAAGAAAAAAATTATTTTTATTAAAATGTTCTATTATTTTATGTTAATGACTAGTGGCCTGGTGCATGAAATTTGTGCATGGGGGTGGGGTGTCCCTCAGCCCAGCCTGCACCCTCTCCAATCTGGGACCCCTCGAAGGATAACCTACTGCTGGTTTACAGAGAATGGGCCTAAACCAGCAGTCGAACATTCTTCTTGCAATCTGGGACTGCTGGCTCCTAACCACTCACTTGCCTGACTGCCTGATTGCCCCTAACCACTCTGCCTGAAGGCCTGCTTGCCCCCAACTTCCCCCCGTGCCAGTGTGCTCACTCCCAACTGCCCCCCTGCTGGCCTGCTCACCCCCACCATCCCTCCTCACTGTCCTGTTTGCCCCCAACTTCCCCCCTACTGGCCTGCTCACACCAAACTGCTCTCCCACTGTCCTGCTCACCCCTGCTGTTTTGCTCACCCCAACTTCCCCCCCACCAGTCTGATCACCCCCAACAACCCCCACACTAGCCTGATCACCCACAACTGCTATCTCATCTTGGCCTGATCATCCACAACTGCCCTCCCCTTTTGGCCTCTAGCCACCTCTACCTCAGCCCCACCACCATGGCTTTGTCCAGAAGAATGTCCAGAAGGTCTCCTGGAAAGTCTCCCAGTCTAATTAGCATATTTATTAGTATAGATAGAGGCCTGGTGCATGGATGGAGGCCAGCTGGTTTGCTCTGAAGGATGTCCCGGATCAGGGTGGGGGTTCCCTTCGGGCATGGGGTGGCCTGGGAGAGGGACCTGTGGTGGTTTGCTGGTCAGCTACCCCCCCATGGGGTAAAGGTCCCCACTGGTGGGTGTGTGGCTAGCCTGGGTGAAGGGCTAAGGGCTGTTTTCAATCTGGACACACCCCCTTCAGGACGGGGGTTCCCGCTGGGGCGTCTGGCCTGCATGGGTGAGGGGCTGATGGCTGTTTGCAGGTTGGCCATGCCTCCCAGCAGGGACCCTCACCCCATGGGGGCATAGCCAGCCTGGGTGAGGGGCTGATGGCTGTTTGTAGGCTGGCCACACAGCCCAGCAGGGACTTTTACTCCATGGGGAGCATGATCAGCCTGGGTTAAGGGGTTGAGGGCCGTTTCACCCAGCTGTTCACCCGGGCTGGCCACATCCTCTTCAGGGTGGGAGTCCCCACTGGGGTGCCGGGCCAGCCTGGGTGAGGGGCTGATGGCTGTTTGTAGTCTGGCCAGGACCCCAGCAGAGACTCTTACTCTGTGGGGGTGTGGCCAGCCTGGGTGAGGGGCTGAGGGCAGTTTTCAGGCTGGCCACACCCCTTTCAGGGTGAGAGTCCCTGCTGGGGTGCCTGGCCAGCCTGGGCAAGAAGCTGAGGGCCATTTTCATGCTGGCCACACCCCCTGGCGGCCCAGGCTCCCAGCCCCGCCTTTTTTTCTCCCCTCTAGCCTCTCCTTGAGCAGAGGCCAGGTCGGGGGCTAGAAGCTTGGCTTCCTCCCTTGCCAGGGGCAACCCAAGCCTCCTGCTTGCTCCAGCTCTGTGGCCTAGGACATCTTTGTTGGGTTAATTTGCATACTCGCTCATGATTGGCTGGTGGGTATAGTGGAGGGATGGTCAATTTGCATGTTTCTCTTATTAGTGTAGATGACTCATTTATTTCAGCCCTTTGTATTCAGCATGTCTCTGTCAAAATAAACATACATTTCTAGGAACATTGAAGCTTCCTTTTCTTTCTTTTTTTTTTTTTTTTTTTGTGGCTCACATAAACTTAAACCTTTTTTATTTGGCCCGTGTTAGCCTTTGAGTTTGCCATGCTTGTCCTAGACTTAGGGTTTGGCATGAGAGAAGTTTGGAAAGGGGATTACAATCTGCAAGAGGCAAATGCTGAGATCATTATGTGAATTATCTCTCTAGAAAGACAATGTGATACAGTAAAGAAACTTTTAGCTGGAAGCTTTAACTGAGGGATCCCCAGTCTCAGAGCTCATGTTTTAGAAGAAAAACATGAGTCAACAGTTTAATTCAGGAATTTAGTCTCACCTGTTTTTAAGAGCATGTTCTGGAGGTCCCATATCCACCTGTGGTCTTGTGCAATAGACCTAATACTCATACAATGAAGTTTAGTAATATTGGAGAGTAGACAATACAATTTAGAGTAGCTTAATCATTTGGTTAGGAGTTTAAAAAAAATTAACTCTGGTTCTAACTATATCATTTGTGGATTCGTGGATTCTTCCGATTCTGAGATTACTATAATTCTAAATTACATAGGCCTCAGTTTCTGCTTCTGTTATATGGTGAACCATTCTTGTCTTGTGTATTTTATGGTGTTCTTGTGGGAATAAAATAAAACATGCTTTTGAAAGCTAAAAACTGCCATATAAATTTCAAAGTATTAGTGTTGTTTTAACTATCAGAGTCTCTCCTCCCTCTCCTGAACCCCATCTCCCCATAACTCTGTCCGTCATGTAAACACAACATCTCATTCCTGTTCATTGCAATGCTATAGTACTCCACTTATTATATTCAATGTGGTCTCTTCCACTCCTGCAATATACTCTTAGAGTACTTTTTAACATATGGTAGGTGGTCAAAAGTACTTGTCAAATCAAATTGAATGTTATTTTCAATCTCGGTAGATAGAATATCTTTTACTCCACAGAAATAATAGATGGCAGGCAGGTTTGATGATTCATAATATCTTCATAATATCTTTCCCACAGGAGGAAAACATTTCCTACTAGTTCCTAGTGTGAGAGTGGTGAACCCTGCAGCCAGCAGGCCTCCTGAAATAAATCCATGGGTGACGAAAGATTCATTGACTTCCAATTCCAAGATTTGAATTCAAGCCTCAGACCCAGGTTGGGCAATGCTACTGCCAATAATACTTGTATTGTTGATGATTCCTTCAAGTATAATCTGAATGGTGCTGTCTACAGTGTTGTATTCATTCTGGGTCTGATAACCAACAGTGCCTCTCTGTTTGTCTTCTGCTTCCGCATGAAAATGAGAAGCGAGACAGCTATTTTTATCACTAATCTGGCCCTCTCCGATTTGCTCTTTGTCTGCACTCTACCTTTCAAAATATTTTACAATTTCAATCGCCACTGGCCTTTTGGTGACACTCTCTGCAAGATCTCTGGGACTGCATTCCTTACCAACATCTATGGGAGCATGCTCTTCCTCACCTGTATTAGCGTGGATCGTTTCCTGGCCATTGTTTATCCCTTCAGATCTCGTACCATTAGGACCAGGAGGAATTCTGCCATTGTGTGTGCTGGAGTCTGGATCCTGGTCCTCAGTGGTGGTATTTCAGCCTCCTTGTTCTCAACCACTAATGTCAACAATACAACCACAACCTGCTTTGAGGGCTTCTCCAAACGTGTTTGGAAGACGTATTTGTCCAAGATCACCATATTTATTGAAGTTGTTGGCTTCATCATTCCTCTGATATTGAATGTCTCTTGTTCTTCTGTGGTGCTGAGAACCCTCCGCAAGCCTGCTACACTGTCTCAAATTGGGACCAATAAGAAAAAAGTGCTGAAGATGATCACAGTGCATATGGCAATCTTTGTGGTCTGTTTTGTACCCTACAACTCTGTTCTCTTCCTGTATGCCCTGGTGCGCTCTCAAGCCATTACCAATTGCTTTTTGGAAAGATTTGCTAAAATTATGTACCCAATCACCTTGTGCCTTGCAACTCTTAACTGTTGCTTTGACCCTTTCATCTATTACTTCACCCTTGAGTCCTTTCAGAAGTCCTTCTACATCAATACTCATATCAGGATGGAGTCCATGTTTAAGACTGAAACACCTCTTACCACAAAGCCTTCCCTTCCAGCTATTCAAGAGGAAGTCAGTGATCAAACAACAAATAATGGTGGTGAGTTAATGCTAGAATCCACCTTCTAGGTACGAGAATTGTCTTTAGATCCAAATATGGTTTCTCCAATGATTATTTTCCTATGTTATGAATAAGATGAAATATTTGAAGCTAACGACACTAAGAATAGATTAATGTACTAAATACAGCCAAATACATTTATTTGAGCATTTACTTTATATATGCTGATTTGTTCAATAATTATAGGTCAGGTCTAATTACTACAATCAAAAGTAATGCCAAACTCTTCTGCTGGATTGAAATTTTATTATATCACATTATGTAACTGGCAAGTGGACTTGACTTTAGTGATGTGGATATTACTTTCAAACTTTTAAAATCATACTCCATTCTGAAAATATTTGATAATTAGATTGGGCCTATAAATATAGAACAAATTCAGGGATTATTTAAAACAGACATTTTGTGTTACTACTGATATATTTTTGTTTGGATTGTTTTTCTTTTAATTTCCATCAAGTTTATTTTGGCCTAAAATAATTAATAAGAAATGTATACAATTTAAAAGGGCTGGCAAATTTATTTTATATATGTTGAAAGCAGAAACATAAATTGTGTTTGCATGAGCATGGATGGGAAGAAACAGAAAATTAACTGGATTTACACATTTGCAGTCACCAGCATTGTCAGTTTAAAAAAAATTTTTTTTTACTACATTAATAATTTCATATGAAACTTCAAATTCAGAAAGCTGCTAAATATGTGCCCAAGATAGGTATACAATGGAAAATCACATAAAATAACAAATGTCCATTAAAAATCTAAGTAACACCAATATATATATATATATATATATATATATATATATATATATATATATATATATATTTTTTTTTTTTAGAATTTCCAATTTCTAATATTACTTTTGAGGGACTGGTTTCTACAAAATATTCTCCATATGAAATTTTGGAGCATAGTGCAGCCAGAAAGCTGCTTAATTTGTGTCTATGTTAGAAAAAATTGGAAAAAATAACAAAGTAATAATAACAGAACAATAAAACCAAAAAAAAGCTTTCTTAAAATTTACATTAATAATTTTTTGTAACTCACTAAAACAGCAAAAGCATTAAGAAAATCCTTAAAAACTCTATCATTTATTGGATGAATTGTAAATTTAAGAGTATTAAGACTTGTAAAGAAAATTTCTGAGCACAATATAGCTTGAAAGATAATATATTGTGTTTATGTTAGAAACAATGGAAATAAATACCCACATATAAACTGCACACACACACACACACACACACACACACACACACAGTTAAAATACTACAAAAAGTAAATATTCTTAAAATGGACATTAATCAATTTTTAAAATACCTAGATGATATAGCAATTTTAAAATGTTAAGGCTGTAGTAAAACTGCTGGTAACAAGGGACATTAGCTGCTTAACTTGTCCCAGAAATTGATTAAAATACTAAAAACCATAAAATAATAACCAAAAAGTAAATTTTTTAAAGAAATAAGCAAATTTTAAAATATCTCATCCCTTTTTCCCTTTCTGATTGTGCATAGATTTAAAAATACTAAGATTTTAAGTATACATTTCTAAGAATTATGTAACCTTAAAAACTGATAAAAATGTTCTTGGATTAGGAATTAATAGAAAAATAAATGCTAAAACAATGGAAGAGTAATAAAAATGAATTCTCAAAAATCACATTACTTTTCCCTCATTATCTAAAGTGCTAAAAATAATCATGCATAAAATTGTCTTGTGAAAACAGATAATAGATAGAATATATGACATTAGGTTCAGTTAGAGTCAATTAGGTTAAGTTAGGTTAAGCTTAGTTGTTAGGTTATATTTTAAGATAAAATTAGTAATCACAGTATGAAGAATCTTTTTGTGTTTTTTTTCTGGTATTTTTTTCTTTTCAGTTTCTTGTAAGTATAAATTATATGTGAACTTTTGTTTGTGCCTTTGGCTCTCAAAATTATGAAACTTTAGGGTGATGATACCAAAACATTTAATGGGATATGTTAACCAGGTTGACGTAAAATATAACAGCAAACCTATTTTGTAACTTCATATTTAGTTTTGTTTAATTTTCCATATTTCAATTTATTTTTATTAATTTCCATTTTATAGTTAATATAACTTGGAATAATAAAACATTTGTCATATGAGCAATGTAATCAATAAAATTTAATGTATAACTAAATGTAAAATTGACTTTACATTTTTTAAAAAAGCAATCAATCAGTTATAATTGCAACTTGGATTTTAATTGCTTATTAAATATAATAAAATACATTTAGATTATCTAGCAGTTATACTTTGGTTTAGCAGTTGAACTTACTTAACTGTGTCTTCTTTTGTGGGCACCCAGTGGCTTCTTTCCATTATCTTTCCTTCACTGTCTAAGAAAGGACTTTTTAAAGTATATTTGTTCACAAATCAATTCCTATCCTTTTTTTTGAGGCTGTTTGGAGAAAAATGCAGAGTTGCAAATGCAAAGTCCCTGGGTGACTTTTCAGCAATTAAGCTGAAAGATTAAATACCACTTTCTCTGATTTATCTGACTTGTTTTTGATATATTTGGAGTTTCTTGAAAAGCTGACTTTTAAATTTGATTTCTTGGATTTGATAAAATATACTAGGACAACTGGGAGGCCTGAGAAAAGTTAGAGCAAACAGACTATCTGATAACAATGAGATGATTTAGGACCTGGGTGTCTGAGTGGTCAAGAACTAGAACAGGTGGTGGGCCCAGGGTGGCAGCACAGGGAATTTCTGGTTATTGTTTTCATGCCTTCTAACTCCCAGGGAAAGCAATATTAACATGACTTAAATCACATTGTATATTGATTTTCCATTAGATAGCAAATGCTTTTTTTTTCTGACATGACAAGCATGATCAGCCCTAGGCAATGTTTAAAATTATAGGAACTTTGTCATTAGTGACCTTCTAGGCCAGGTCCTCAAAAACAAAACAAAATAAAACAAAAACCTCAAATAAGAGGAGACAGATGCTATTTGTTTCACATCCCTATTGACCTCCTTTCACTTCTATCTCCACCCTCAGATTCCTGGACCTTATATTTGCTATGGTTTCCCAAACTTTCTGTCTTTCCTGCAGCCCTTTCCTACATCTCTATCTCCTGCAGAAATATTGCTTTTCAATAGTCCAAAAAAAAAAAAAAAATACATAAACCTCTGTCAAGACTGACAGGTTGAATAGATTTACACTAAGGTGTGAATGATTTATCCATCCACCCATTGCTTTTAGTCCCTCCATTGGTATTTACATCTTAGAAAATGAGTAAATTCTAGTTAATTCGATTGACTGAAGCAGGGTAAAGATGGGGAGAGATGACTGTTCTAGTACATCGTAAATCATCTCTTGAGCCTCAGCCTGCCTCACATGATGGTAAAGCCTCTGTACTGCAACTCTTTTGTTCTGCTCTCTTACCATTACCTGCATGAGTTCATAGCCTACACTTCCTTTCTCCAGACATCCTCTTTTTCAAAACTGCCCAAGGTGACTGTGAACCTGTATTCTCATTTCATATAGTCTTGAATTCTTTTGCCCAAATATCTCCTAGTTCTTCTGGATTTAGTGAAATGGTTCCTAACATAGAAAGCATTTTATTTCAATAAGAAAACTAAAGCAGTCTATTGAATAAAAATTTCCTGTATATTTAGGTTTTTAAAGAACTATATACTTCCCATTGCTTTGCTTCTTTCCATCTCTGAGTGTCTCAATGAAACTCGTCTCTACCAAACATCCACAGAAGAATTGAATTCTAGAACATAGAGGAATAGAGCCAGAGTAAGGTCTGTGAGAAAATGCAGACGGGCTCTGAGACTGGGGAGATTTGTGTGGCCATGACAACTAGTTTTCCTTTCTACTTGTCATGGGGGAGCTCCAGCCATATACAATAGATGAGAAGCTTGTTACAAAGAACCCTCACTCCTTCCATTTCTACTTCAGGGTAAACTACTCAGCTTGCTACCTTTCTCACTCATGTTGGTGGTACCAAGGCCGGGTCACATTCCTCATTTGGGATCCTGGGGCTTCTGAACTAACCCAGTTCAAGGCAGTTTGAGATTCTTGGGAAACTAGAGGCCTGATGCACAAAATTTGTGCAAGAGTAGGCCTTCCTTCCCCACGCTGCTGGCACTGGCTTCCCTCTGGCACCCGGGACCCAGGCTTCCCTCGCAGTCCTGGCTTCATCTGGAAGGTTGTCCAGAAGGACATCTGGTCTAATTATAATATTATGCTTTTATTATTATAGACTAGAGGCCTGGTGCATGAAATTCATGCACAGGGGTGGGGGAGCCTCAGCCCAGTCTGTACCCTCTCCAATCCGGGACCCCTTGGGGGATGCCCGACTGCCAGTTTAGGCCCAATCTTGGGGATTAGGCCTAAACGGGCAGTCAGACATCCCTTTCACAATCCAGGACCACTGGATCCTAACTTCTCACCAGCCTGCTGGCCTGATAACCCCTAACTGCCCCCCTGCCTGCCTGGTTGCCCCAATTGCCCCCTTGCTGGCCTGGTTGTCCCCAACTGCCCACCCTCACTGGCCTGGTTGCTCCCAACTGTCCCCCCTGCCAGACTGGTCACTCCCAACAGCCCCCTGCCAGCTTGGTCACCTACACAGCCTGCTGTTCAGTTGTTTGGTCGTCCTTCACTACTCCTCTGCCTACGTGACCCCACGTAGCCTGCAGTTCAGTTGTCTGTCTGATAGTTTTGGTTGTAACAGCCCCAGGCTTTTTATATATTAGGATAGGATAATTTGACTAGGGGAATACTTAGGAACCCCGAATTTATTTGTTTACTTATTCAACAAATTTCTTGGACATCAACTATGTGCCAGACACTAAGGATTATATGGTGATAATAAGAGACAAAATTCTGTTTTACTCTGGAGTCAGAGCACGTGAAGCCCAAAACAAATTAAGCAAATTAAAAAGTAATATGATAGATATTAACTAGAGCTATAGAGCAAAATAGATCAATATAAAAGAGAAGACATACCTGAAACTAGATCTCAGGATCCACAGCAAGACTGGTTGAAAACTTTAAGGATCATTGAAAAGAGGAGGATGCCTCTGTTTAAACAAATAAATAAAATTATTTAAATAAAGTTTATGCTATACTTACAGGGCATGTAAGGAAATGCAAGAAAGTTCTGACTGTAAAAATCATATTTTTAATGTTTGTTTTTGAAGGAGTTTTAAGCCTTGAGTTGTCCAATTATTGTGCCTAGTCTATCTGCTTTCAGTATTTATGCTCTTGTCCAAGCTACAGAGACCACAAAGGCTAAAGGAGACCCGGGCCTAGGCAATTCCAGTGAGCAAAACTGATCACATCATGGCCTCGGCCTCCTCTCTTCTAAGATGTCATCCTGCAGTAAGAAGCTTGCTTGCTGTCTGTCTGTCTCTTTCTCCACCATTTCTCCCCACCCTGAGAAAAACATGCTCTAAGAAAAGGATCTGAATTCTAAGTCAGTACTATAATAGAGGTTTATGAAACCACATTTGGTTTTTTATACTATCCTTTCCTATTCACTGAGTGAACATGGTCAAGTCTCTCACTTTGCCTGAGTTCCTCTATTATTAAAATGAACATGTTTTGTTTTAAGTCATCTCTGAGATTCCTAATAGTTCTAAGACTGGAACTACAAACTTACTGATGCTGAATCATAAATAACAATACTTATTAATAATATTGATATGGCCCGGCCAGTATGACTCAGTAGATGAGCATTGACCTATGAACTAGGAGATCATGGTTCGATTCCAAGTCAGGGCACATGC